TGCCACCGCGCCAGAAGCCCTCCAGAACCCTTCCAGAACCCTTCCGCGGACCCGAAATACCCCAAACCCCTTACGATTTTGCGATTTTGATTCCCCCCACTGCCTCGCCTTGGTAAACTGCCCTTCAAGTTTCTTTAAGGGCAAACTGCAACGCCGCCCCAAAGCACGTGCCAGAAGCCCTCCAGAAGCTTCCTAGAAGCCTTCTAGAACCTTTCCGCGGAGCCAAAAAATACCCCAAACCCCTTACGATTTTGCAATTTTAATTTCCCCCACTGCCTCGCCCCAGTAAACTGCCCTTCAAGCTTTCTTAAAGGCAAACTGCAACTCCGCCCCTTGAGCTTTCTCAAAATAGCAAAATAAAGTCTTCAGGGCAAACTGCACGTCGCCGCTTACCTTGCCAACTTGCGTTTCAAGCTCCTTCATAATGCCCTTCAAGCTTTTAGAAATCGGCGGGAAGATTTACCCGCCGAAGCCGTAGAGCGTGCGGCCCTGGCGCTTGAGCGCGTAGACGACGTCCATGGCCGTGACCGTCTTGCGGCGGGCGTGCTCCGTGTACGTGACGGAGTCGCGGATGACGTTCTCGAGGAAGACCTTGAGGACGCCGCGGGTCTCCTCGTAGATGAGGCCGCTGATGCGCTTGACGCCGCCGCGGCGAGCCAGGCGGCGGATCGCGGGCTTCGTGATGCCCTGGATGTTGTCGCGCAACACCTTGCGGTGGCGCTTGGCGCCGCCCTTGCCGAGTCCCTTGCCTCCCTTGCCGCGTCCAGACATGATTGAGTGAGTGTGTTTGCGTGTGTTTTGCAAAGCTGGGAGGCCGTCGATCTCGCGAGGCAGCCGCCGGAGCGGACCTCGTGATCTCCATTCTGATTGGATGAAAATCTTCAGGCACAAACTTGACGTTCAAAATAAAAGCCTGAAGAAATTCGACCAATGAAAAGCAAGATCACGAGGTCCGCTCCGGCTGCCGGTCTCGAGATTAGCAGCCCCTCTCCCAACCCAAAACACACGCATCACAATGGCCCGCACGAAACAGACCGCACGCAAGTCCACGGGGGGCAAGGCCCCCCGCAAGCAGCTCGCCACCAAGGCGGCGCGCAAGTCCGCCCCGGCCACGGGCGGCGTCAAGAAGCCCCACCGCTACCGCCCGGGCACCGTCGCGCTCCGCGAGATCCGCCGCTACCAGAAGTCGACGGAGCTCCTCGTGCGCAAGCTCCCCTTCCAGCGCCTCGTCCGCGAGATCGCGCAGGACTTCAAGACGGACCTCCGCTTCCAGGGCTCCGCGGTCCTCGCGCTCCAGGAGGCCGCGGAGGCGTACCTCGTCGGCCTCTTCGAGGACACGAACCTCTGCGCGATCCACGCCAAGCGCGTCACGATCATGCCCAAGGACATCCAGCTCGCGCGCCGCATCCGCGGCGAGCGCTCCTAAGCGGCGACGCTGCCGTCGCGCGCTTCGCGCGGCGGCGATCCCACACACAAAAACAAACCGGTGTCTTCGGACACCACCCTTCGGAAAGAAGAAGCTTCTCCCCCTTCCCTCGACTTGTGCACAAACAATCCGCCGGGTCCCACCCGACGCCCAACTCCGCTCGCCCTCGTGAATATACCCGCCCTTCAACTTACTTTATTTACTGAAAGATGAACAAGTGCATGATTATGTATGGGGCAGCATCATGACCGGTGATGGTCGCTGACGACGCGCGGCCTGCGACGCTCGTTTCGCAGCAGCAGCAGCGCGACGACGACGCGCGGCCTGCGACGCTCGTTTCGCAGCAGCAGCAGCGCGACGACGACGCGCGGCCTGCGACGCTCGCGGCGCAGCAGCAGCAGCGCGACGACGACGCGCGGCCTGCGACGCTCGTGGCGCAGCAGCGCGCGGTCTTCGCTGCGGCGGCGGCCGCCGCGCGGCGACGGAGCGATTTGTCGGCCGTCGCCGAGGCTGTGCCCGCGACGCGGGAACCGTCCGGCGCGGACGGCGGCGCGCTGACGACGGACCTCGCGCGCGTCGCGGGGCGGGGCGAGGCCGTCGGGTTCCCCGATTCGAGGGCGTCGGAGGCGCGGAGGCTCGTCGCCGCGGGCGCGGACGTCAACGCGCGCGTGGGCGCCGTCGGCGAGACGATCCTGTACCACGCGTGCAAGGCGGGCCTCGCGGACGTCGTCTCGGTCCTGCTCGAGGCGCCGTCGCTCGACGTCGCCGCGACGACGGACGCCGGCACGAGCGCGCTCATGATCGCGGCGGGATGCGGGCACGCGGACGTCGTCGACCTGCTCCTGCGCGACGGACGCGCGGCGCCGCTGCTCAACGCGCCGAACGCGGCCGGAGTGACGCCGCTCCGGACCGCGGTGATCTCGAACCACGCCGCGGTCGTCCGGCGCCTGCTCCGCGAGCCGTCGATCGACGAGACGCGGGCCGACGACGGCGCGCTCCGCGGCCACGCGGGCCGCGCGCTCCGGGCCGGCGACAAGGGCGAATCGCTCGGGCCGAAGCGATCGCTCTTCGCGTACGCGCTGGAAAACAACGGCCTCGAGACGCTGAGCCTCCTCCTGGCCCACGCGCCGGCCGCGGCGGAGGCGCCGCTCGCGTCGGACGGGGAGCTGACGACGACGCACCGCGCGCAGCTCGTCGGCGACGCGGCCGCGCTGCGAGCGCTCGTCCTGGGAGAGGCCGACCTGTCCCCGCCGTGCCCCACGATCCGGTGCGGCGAGACGATGATACCGACGGACACGCTCTCCAAGGGCTACACCTGCGACCGGTGAGCGCCAGCACAGAACACCGAGCGCGCGTCAAAAACACCCCCCGCCCCTAGGTGCGGCCGCGTCGCCGTGGACAGACGAGCCTGGCTCTGCGCGGCGTGCGAGACGACCATCTGCCTCTCGTGCGTCACGGCGCCGCAGATCGAGGTGCCGTCGGCCCACCGCGCCGTGCTCGCGGGGCGGAGCGTCGGCGCGCTGGGCGACGCGACGCTCGACGGCGGGCGGCTCCCCGCGGCGTACTACGCGCTCGAACTCGGGGACGCCGCGAACGCGCGGCGCCTCCTCGCGGGCGCGCACGGCCTCCCCGAGGCCCTCGTCGACGAAGCGCTCGCCGACGGCGTCGCCGACGAGTCCGCGGTCGGCGCGCGCGCGGCGCGGTTCCTCGCGCGCGCGCTCGCGTCGGGTCTCGTCGAGGCCGCGTCGCCCGCCGCGGTTGCCGGGTTCAAGGCGCTCCTGCTCCCCTTCTGCGCGCACATCGCGGCGCTCCGCTACTTCGACGCGCGCCCGGCGGCCTTCGAGGCGCTCCGGGGGCTCTGCGCGGCGCGCAACGCCCAGCGTCCTGCGGCTGTGACGACTTTCGAGAGATTTCGGGTGGGAAAACGATGAAAAATCGTTACCGACGTGCTTGGTAGGCAACGCCGCGATCTACGAGAGGATCGACGCGGCCGTCGGCCCTTCGACGCGCGCGCGCCTGCACGCGCTCGGCGCCGGCTACCCGGCCGCGCGGCCCCGGCAGGACGCGGACGGGCTCCTGCCGGCGCTCGGGCCCTTCGTGAGGGAGAGCCGCGGCGAGTACGAGATCGAGTACGCGATGGCGCTCGCGCTCCTGGCCCGGGCGGCGAACCCGACCTTCTCCGAGGAGCTCGTCGCCATCTTCGACGGCTTCGACACGTTCCCCGCGCCCTCCAAGGCATTCGGCAGGATGCGCAACAAGCTCGAGAGCGCGACGGAACACGGCGGCTGCGAGACGCCGCGCGCGGCGGAGAACGCGGACGTTCTGCGGCTCGGCGTCGTCCTGGACGCGCCCGAGGACTTCGAGGAGGCCCTCGCGGTGCTCCGGCGAAGCTACGCGATCCTGCGCGTCAAGAGCTCGCACGACGCCGTCGCTCCGTCCTACCGCTCGCTCCTGGTAAATTTCAGGTACGCGTCGACGAGGGCGCTGGCCGACGTCGTCGGCTCGCACGACGACGACCTGGGCCAGGCGTGGAAGGACCACTGCGAGACGCTCCCGGAGCCGCGGCACTGGCGCTACGCGCTGAACAGCCTGCACCGCCTCGCGGCGGCGCGGCCGGCGCCGGCGATCGCGCTCGCGGCCGAGGTCCAGTTCGTGCTGCGGCCCTACTACGCCGAGGGGCGCACGCGGTCGCACCTGCTCTTCAAGATCGCCCGCGCGGCGACGCCGGGCGAGATGGTGCGAGACTTCTCCCAGGGGCTCGAGCCTATTCGACTGCCGAGTGGCCCCATCGACCACCGCTCCTCGAGAGATCCGCAACCTCGAACGCAGAGCAGACGGCTCCTCGAGCAGATCCACAACTTCCGCGCGCGCGCGCTCGACTAAGGTTACGAGAACATGTTGCCAAAGGCCGCGGCGGCGCCCGCGATCGATGCCTAGGCTCTAACGCGAAGTTACGAGAACATGTTGCCAAAGGCCGCGGCGGCGCCGGCGATGCCGCCCCCCGCGGCCCCGAGGTCGTCGTCCTCGCCCTCCTCGGAGACCGTCTCCAACGACCGGTTCTCCTCGAAGGAGGCGAGCGTCGCGTCGTCGACGTAGTCCGCGAGCGCCGTCGTCGCGTTCGGGTGGACCGCGTAGCCGTCGTAGATCGTCGCGAGGTAGGACTCGGCGGCCGCGGACGTCACCGAAAGCTGGTTCTTCGCCATGGCGCGCCGGCCCTCGGCGATGAGCATCTCGAGCGCCTCGGCCCGGAGCGCCGCGTGGCGGAGGAAGCGGCGCGCCTCCTCCTGGTCCGCGCGCGCCTCCTCGTCCTCGGCCGTGTAAGCCGTGCGCGTCGTCGCCATGGAAGTCGCGTCGAGCACGGACGGCCCCCGGAGCGAGTCGCCCGCGGAGTACGCGTCGAGGTCGTCGGACGAGTCGCGCGCGGACGACCCGCGCGCGCTCGTCGCGGGCGTCGTCGCGTAGGACCGCTCGGCGGAGAGCGTCGCGTCGCTCGGCGTCGCCAGCGTGCCGCCGGACCGCTCGGCGGACAGCGTCTCCGGCGGCGCGGACGACGACGCGACCGACCGCTCCGCGGACAGCGTCTCGGGCACGGACGCGGCGAAGGACACGCGCGCGAGCGACGGCTCCTCGTCGACGGGCGCGTGCGGCTCCTCCGCCGTTGGGACCACCAACTCCGCCGGCTCCGCGGGCGCCTGCTCGGCCGTGCGAAACGACTCGTCGTCCGCGGCGGACCGCGACCGCGACGCCTCGTCGACGGCTCCGCGCGACGCCTCGTCGACGGCGCCGAGCGCGGAGCCGCCGGACGCGAGCGACGACGCCGCGAGCGACGACCCCCGCCTGATGTCGTCCTCGGACGGCGGCTCGGACTGCGACGCCGGGTCCTCGGAGGCCTCCTCCTCCGCGGGCGGCTCGTCCGACTCCGAGTCCGACTCGCCCGCGGCGCCGCGGCGGTGCGGGTCGTAGACCTGCGTGACCATGCGCCGGCGCACGCCGTGGACCATCTCCGTGGCGATGCCCTCCTCGCTCTCCTCGGACTCGCTGTCCTCGTCGCGGTAGACGGGCGCGCGCGGGTCGAAGACCTCCGTCTTCCGCGACACCCCAAAGTCCGGCGGCCGCCAGACCTTGACGACGGGCGGCGTCGCGGGCTTGGGCGCCGGCGCCGGCTCGGGCGCCGGCGGCGTCGGCGGCGGCGTCGGCGTGCGCACGAAGAAGTCGGCCATGGACGACACGGCCTTCTGCGGCTTGCGGTCGCGCGGAACGCCCGCGGGCGCGACGCCCGGCGCCGGCGCGGCGATGGTGAGCACCTCGGCGACGGAGCCGTCGCGCGTCGACATGAGGCGCCGCGGCGGCGGCGTCGCGGCGCCCGCCGGCTCGTCGGCCCCGGGCCGCGGCGCGGTCCGCGGCGGCGGCGCGGTGCCCGGCACGGCGACGCCGTCGTCGAAGAGGCGCAGGGGCGTGCCCAGGGGCGTGCCGGGCTGCGCCGGGCCGATGACGATGCGGCCCGACTCGTCGATCTCGAGCACGAGGTTGTCGCCGAGGCGCACGCCCGCGGACGCGGCGCGCGAACCGGGGCGGCTCGGCGCCGTGCCGGGCCGGCTCGGCCCGACGCGCGCGTCGAAGAGCTCGGGCGCGTCGCGCGCCGGCGGGCGCGCCGCCGGGGGCGCGCCGTCGGGCGCGAGGCCGAAGAGGAGCAGCGCCGCCTCGAGGTGGCCGTCGTCGTCGTCGTCGAGGGGCGCGTCGGCGCGCCCGCTGAGGAGCGCGGGCGCCGTGCCCGGGCGGCTCGGGGGCGCGCTCGGCGCCGTCGCCGGCCGGCTGCCCGGGCGGCTCGGCGCGGGCGCGGCCGCGGGCTCGGCGACGACGAGGACGTCGGCCCGCGGCGCCGCGGCGACGACGTCGGCCTTGGGCGCCGTGCCCGGCCGCGACGGCGTCGGCGTCGGCTGGCCCGACGTCTGGCGGCTCGGGAACTGCTGGCTCGCGTCGCCGGAGCCCGGCCGCTCGAACTGCGGGCTCGACGCGACGCGCGCCGCCAGCCTTAAACCGTCGGCCGCGTCGAGCCGGTTCGACGCCACCCTGGCGTCCGCGCGCAGCGCGTCCGCGGAATCCAAGCGCGTCGCCGCGGTCTGCGACTCGTGCTGGAGGTAGTCCGCGGCCGCGTCGCGCTCCGCGACCGCCGTCGACGGCATCGACGAGTAGTCGCGCGTGGGCTCGGACGCCGTCGGCTCGGACGCCGTCGGCTCCGTCGCCTCGCTGCGCTCGCCGAGATCCCAGGTCGGCGCGTGCGACATGTCCTCGGGCGTCGCCGCGGAGGCCGGGGGCAGCTGCGAGCCCATCGTGAGGCGACTCACGTGCGACTTCGCGGACGACGGCCGCGCGGACGCCGCGGACGACGGCCGCGGGCCCACCGTCGCGCGCAACGTCGGGGCGACCGTCGCGCGCGGCGCCGGCGCGCTCATGGGGCCGATGGAGCTCACCTGCGCGTCCACCTGAGCGTCGACGCGCGACGCGTCCTCGGACGACGGCTCGTCGGCGCCCGCCGCGCGCGCGGCCGTCTCCGCGAGGAAGCCCGTCGCCTCCTCGCGCGCGGCGGCCCGCAGGCCCTCGTTCCGTAAAAACCCGGCGGCGGAGTCCTGGTCCATGGCCGCCTCCGCGCCCTCGCGCAGATCGCGCGCGGCCGCGGACATGTCCGCCGCGACCGTGGACGGCAGCTCCGAGTAGGCCGCCGTGTCCGACTCCGCGTTCCCCGGCAGCGAGCTCGGCGCCTCGGACGCCGGCTCGGCCGCCGACGGCTCGCTCGCGGCCGCGGCCGACCGCGCCGCGGACTGCGCCGAGGGCTCGTCGAGCGACGGCGCGGGCAGGTCCGTGTACACGGTGGCCTGGGGGCCGACGGTCGCGCCCGCGTCGAGGGACTGCACCGTCTCCTTCGGGGACAGCGCGTCCTCGGCGACGGACGGCTCCGCGACGAGGGACTTCTTCTTCGGCGCGGCGCGCGGGGGCGACGGGTGCGGCGACGTCGTCGACGAGTTCGACGCGAGGTCGAAGGGCGTCGCCGCCGTCGCGGACTCGTCGACGTCCGTGTCGTAGGTCAGCACGGACGGCCGGCTCGTCTCCGCGAGCGACGGCTGCGCGGACACGGCGGCCGGCGGCGCGTCGGGCGCGTCGTCGCCGCCGCCGCCGTCGTCGTCGTCGCCGCGCGGGAACGCGTCCTGGTCTTCCTCGTCGTCGTCGTCGTCGTCCGGCGGCGGCGCCGCGGGCGGCGGCGGCGGCGCGTCGTCGTCGTCGGCGCGGACGTCGCGGACGCCGCCGCCGGCCTCGAGCGACGACGGCGCCCAGACGACCTGGGAGTCGCGCTTCGGCGGGTGGAGCTCCGTCGTCGCGGCGAGCACGTCGCCGCCCTCGACCTCGGCGGGGAGCCGCGTCTCCGCGAGGTCCGGCAGGAGCTCCGCGGACGTCGCGACCTCCGTTGGGAGCTCCGGCGGCGCTTTGAGATGCGGCGGCGGCGCGTAGGACTTGCGGTGCTCCACGGGCGGCGTGCGGCCCAGGGCCACGTCCATGGCCTGCTGCTTCGCGAGCGTCTTCCGCTCCGGCGACAGGGGCGTGAGCGCGTGCCAGTCGCCCGCGTTTTGCGCGCCGGAATTCGGGCTCCGCGGCGGCGTCCGCGGCGCGCGGCTCCGCTCGAGGTTGCGCCGCGCGTCCACGGAGAGCCCGGACGACGACCCGCGCGAGTCCGGGAAGTTCCCGCCGCCGGGCGTCGCCGGCGTGCGGAAGCCCTCGGTGACGGGCGTCGGCGGCTCGACGAACGGCGCGCCGTCGTCGTCGTCGTCGTCGGAGTCGTCGAACGCCTCGCGGCGCGTCGGCGCGGACCGCGGCCGCCGCTCGCGCCGCGACTCGGCCCGGAGCCGCGCGGTCTCGAGCTCGACCTCGAGCTCGCGGCAGCGCGCCTCGCGGCGCACGAGGTCCTGGCGCTCGAAGAAGATGACGCGGTTCTTCTCGCGCCGCTTCGCGTCCAACGCCCGGAGCCGCTCCCGCAGCTTCGCGAGGCGCACGTCCTGGGAGAAGGCGAGGGGCTTCCCCCGCGCCTCGAGCTGGACGTCGTCGATCCTGCGCGTGAGGCCGAGCATGTCGCCGCTGAGCTTCGCGAGCGCGTCCTCGGCCTCGCGCTGGCGCCTCCGGCCGCGGCGCATCTCCGCCTGCATGAAGGCGAGGTGGCGCCGCGGCGCGTCGACGGCGGCGTAGTTGGCGCCCGAGTCGTAGCACACGGGCGCGAGCTGGCCCGTCGTCGCCGGCCCGCCGTCGCCGTAGCCGTCGACCTCGATCTTCTCGGGGAAGCCGACGGCGCCCGGCGACCGCGGCGCGCGGTCGTCGTCGGCCCAGGTCACGGCGTTGTTCGGCGTGCGCTCGGGGGAGGCGTCGTAGGCGGACCCGGGCACGTAGGGCGCGGCGGCGTCGTCGCGGCTCTTTCGCTCGTCCGCGACGTACTTGTCGACGCGCGTCTGCGGCATCGCGCGGAGTTCGCCCAGCAGCGCCCGCTCCGCGTCCGTCTTCGGCCCGTAGTAGTGGGGCAGCGTGACGACGGCGCCCCGGCCCTTCTTCGCCGATGGCACGTAGTCGTCGCCGCGCAGGTCGTCGAAGCCCGGGTGCGCGTGCGGCAGGAGGAGCGGATTCCGCTTCGCGGTCTCGAACCCTAAATCGAGCTTCCGCGCCACGTTTTCTAGAAATTCGACGTCCCGGAGCATGGTGAAGACGTAGGGCGTGCCGCCGAGGTCGAAGGACGGCGCGTGGCTGCCGAGGAGGCTCCGCCGCCGCGCGAGGCACGTCGCGATCTTCATCGTCAAAGTCCGCAGCGTGTCGACGTGGCCCGCCAGACCCCGCGGCGGCCCCGCGGCCTTGGCCTGGATCGCCAGCACCATGGAGTCGTCGTCGGCGAGGTCGTGCGCCAGGGGCGACGGCGGCGGCGGGTCGTCGCCCGTGACGAGCTCGTGGGCCATGCGGAGCACCTCGTTCCGCTGGAGCGCGAGGCGCACGAGCTCGAGCTCCGTGCCGTAGCCCGCGCCGATCTTCTCGTAGGTCACGGCCGCCGACGCGTCGCCGCCGTCGGACGTGCGCACGACCAGCAGCGGCAGCCCCTTGCCCAGGAGCGGCACGGGCTCCGCGACGGGCCGCGTCGCCGGCACGCGCGCGCGGGGCCCCGGCGCGCCGTACTCGCCGCCGCCGCCGCCGCCGGGCGCGGCCCGCAGCTTGACGCCGACCTCGAGGCGCAGCTTGTTCGCCTTGACGCGCTGCTGCTCGTTGAAGATGGCGCTCATGGCCCGCGGGCAGTTCGGGTCCCGCATGGCGTCGTAGCGGGGCAGGCCCTCCAGCGACAGGCGGCCGTTCCATTTGTCCTCCTTGAGCCGGACGCGCAGGTCGCCCGTCCCGCCCTTCTTCGGCGGCCGCCGCGCGACGCCCGGCGACCACGCGGCCGCGTCGCCCATGGCGTCGGACGACGACACCGGGAGCCCGAGGCAGCCCGGGCTCCTCGCAACGCGCTTTACACGAGGTGCATCTTGACGAGGAGTGGCAGGACTTCACCTTGACGAGGTCCTTCGTGAACCTCATATGGAGAGCATGCTTATGGGCAAAGTTTGTGGCCTTTGAGATCGCCGTGATACCGCGCGCAGCGCTCGAACACGCGGATGGACGCGCCGCCGCCGGGCGCCGCGCCGCCGCCCACGGCGGCGCCGGACGGCGCCTTCCGCGCGCGCGTCGAGGCCTACTACCGGGAGCACAACCCGGCGCGGCTGTCGCTCGTCGACGAGATCGTGGCCAAGTACGCGGGCCGCGAGGAGGCGCTCTGGGCCAAGCTCGCGAAGAAGTACGACGGCGCCGCGACGGCGGCCGACCGCGTCGACTTCCGGTCGCGGACCTTCGACGCGCTCGCGGCGCTGCGGACGCCCGGCGTCGCGCCGCCCGCGCCGTCGGCGCGGCCGCTGGACAACGTGCACAAGTTCCGGCCCTTCCTGCCCGCGAGCAGCGGCGAGCGCGACGACCGCGTGAAGCAGAGCGCGCACCACGCGCCGCGGCCCGAGCCCGACGCGGCCGCGTCGTCGCGCGGCGCCGAGCTGCTCGAGGCCGTGACGGACCCGCTCCGCGACGGCCCCCACGGCGTGCTCTGGCGCGCGCTCCGCGACCGCGCGGCCGTCAAGGTCGTCCTCCGCCGCGTCAACTGCATCCGCGGCAGCTGCGTCGGCCTCCTCAAGGCCTTCGACCGCCACATGAACCTCGTCCTCGTCGACGCCGCGGAGACGACGGTGCCGCCCATGCGGAACCCGGACCGCGCGCGGCCCGTGACGCGCTTCCTCAAGCAGGTCCTCATCCGCGGCGACAACGTCGTCCTCGTCTGCCGCGCGCCGAACCTCGTCGGCCACGACCGGCACCAGCAACGGAGCAAGCGCGGGCCGGGCCGATCGTAAGACCCGGCGCGCCGTCGTTGCGCGGCTACTCCTCCGCCCGTAACATATCCCGCCGGCGGGACGAGCACTGGTGTGTGCGCCTCAATGAGCCTTCAAACACATCCAAAATCAGCTCAGCCAGGGCCCTCCCCGCCGCTTAGACCTTAAGGCACGTCGCTGACGCCGCCCGTCGCGCGGTTGGTACGCGGGGGTCCCCCGGTGAGTATAAGAACGCGGCCGGCGCCTTAAAGTACCGCCGAACTCGCATGTCGCGCCGCGGTCGCGCGGCCCGTCGGGCGCGTTTCGCGCGCGCGTGTCGGATATCTTGGAGGTTCGCACGAATCACCACCGGCCCTTCGCCGACTGCTTTCCTGCCGCGAGCTCTCCGGGTTTCGGGTACTGCCTGCGCTGAGCCCTCGTGAACCAAGGAGAACCAAGGGCTCGAAGTTTCGTTGATAACTGCACAAAGCAGCCACGATGCACTCGGCGGAGAGCATCTCTGGAGGTCCTTCTGGGCTGCTGGGGCGGCGCGCGCAGCGCATGCACAAAGGGCGCCACATCTTCTGTCGCGCGGCCTCCATGGCGCGCATCAGCGGCCGCGAGCGCGCATCATTGGTGCGGCGGGTCGGCGCGGCGGTGGAGCGCCACGCCCCGAAGATCATGAAAATGTCGATGCTCGTCGGCGCGATGGCCTGCCTCGCGGGGACGCGCTCGTCGTCGTGCATTGCCGCGGCCCGTGGACCTCGACGAGACGCTGGAGCCGACCTTCACGGACGGCGCGCGCAAGTACTGGCACCTGCGGTTCACATGTCCGTGCAGCGAGAAGACGGTGACCGTCCGGAAATACCTCCGGAAGCTGTCCGACGGCGACGACGTGGAGAAGGAGAAGGAGGCGGCGCTGGAGCGGCTCTGGGCGGGGCTCATCGATGAGCACGGAGAACACCTGGGCCTCGGGGTCGTCGGCGGCGACGGCGCGATGGACGAGGACGCGGCGCCCGAGGAGGCGGGGGTCGTCTGCCAGCCGTGCTCCCCGCCGAGCTCACCCGGGGCGAAGCGAGGGCGTGTTGCAGCGCAGCACCCGACGCCACAGTCGATGCGAGACGCACGAGAAGCCCCTGCGGCGGAGCCCGAACCGGCGCCGGAGCCCGAGCCGGCGCCGGAGCCCGACGACGGACCCGAGCCGCCTCTGCCGCCGGCGCCCCCGGCCCCACGGCGCTCGACACGCCCGCATCATGCTCCTGTCGACACCTACCAACCCCCTGTTCCCCGTGACCGGACGGCGTTCGCTGCCGCTCTACGTCGCCAGTACGACTCGACGCCGCGGCAGCCAGCAGCAGCCCGCGGGCCCGTCGTTTCGAGCGACCGCATCGACGAGGGCGTCGGCTCCAGCGACTCCAGCGACGAGGGCTGCGCGGGCTGCGCCAAGTGCGTGACGAAGGACGCGCTGCTCCGCGAGGCCGACATGGAGATTCAGAGCCTCCGCGCGAAGTTGTCGACGCCTGGGGCCGCGTGGGCCAAGACCGTCGAGGCGCTCCCGAACCGCACGCAGGGCATGGCGAAGAAGGGTTTGGCGCTCATGGCGCGCCTCGAGCCGACGAGCACGCCGCGCGCGAACGGCGGACCCGACGGTAGCGGATCCGACGACGACTCCAGCGACGATCCGGAGCCCCCCCGGCCGCGGCGCCGGGTCACAGCCGCTCGTGTCGACGAGCCATCGGCGGGGCCGGCGACAGAGGCGAAGGCCCGTGACGTGAATCCTGTGCTCGCGGCCCTCTTCGTGCACGGCGGAGGCGACCAGAGCCGGACCGCGGCGATCCTCCAGGCCGTCGTCGCGCGAGCAGGGAAGCTGCTGCGACTGGACTTGAAGGAGATCAAGGCCCTACGCGCCATGGGCCGGGCGATCAAGGGCTACTTCTCGCTCGCGGCCCTTCCGAACGGCGGGACGCGTCGGAAGTATGCCCAGCAGAAGGTGGACGCGGTGATGGAGGCTGTAACGCCGGCGGATGGCGCTGCCAAGAACTTGCTCCGGGGCATCTCGCGGGTCTGCTGCGGCGACAACGTGAGCCACAGCGTCATCGGTCGCTTCTCGAACGCGGCGGATCGACGGAAGCTACAAGACGACGCGGGCAAGCTTGCACGCCACCGCATGCGGGCTCTGCGCTCTGATCTCGTCGACCTCGCCTGTGCTCGTGAGTATTGGCACCAGAACGACGACGTGCGACTCGACACTTTCGCGGGGAGGTGCACCAAGAAGGTGAAGATCGTCACGGTCCAGGTCGACTCCGACGGGCGGAGGACGCTCGTCGTGAAGGAGGATCACCACCAGCGCCACACGAAGCACGCGGGCGATTTGGAGATCTACCAGGCCTTCCTGAAGTCGGCGGGCTACGCCTCTCACCTCGCCGCCCATCCCAGCCACAAGATCTCCTTCACGCTCTTCAAGCGGGCCAAGTGCCCGTGCATCGCTGTGTGAAATCAAATCTTCAACCCGACTTCAGCACCTCCGCTGCGCTTCGAGAACTCGATGAGAGCAATCGATCCGTCCAAAAATCAGCCGAATCGACTTCGATTTGACCGAGCTAGAGAATTTCAAAGTTTGGTCGGGACGTCCCAAACCAGTCGTTGATTTGCACGTGTACAGGTGCATCGGCGAGCCGCACCAGCGCGAGTGCGCCGACGAGATCAAGACCAGCATGAGGGAACGACTGCTCGCTCTGAACCGCCTGCGCCTCTCGGTCAAAGAACGGCAAGCGACGTGCCAGGGCCCAGTCTGCCGTGCACGGCGTGCAGCCGTCGACGCACGTTCTGCGGCGCCCGAGGCCTCGTACCTCCAGGCAGAGCAGACCGCCGCCTACAAATTCAGCAAGATCCACGAACGATCGAATCTGTCCGCGGGCATGTTCTCAAGCTGCATGCTCTGCCCGGCAATACGCTGTGAAGATCTCGAGCTGACGACCGACGATGACGAGCGTGTGTTGATGCACAGGAAGGAGTGCGCCTACGGTGATTGCGATGAATGTGGCGTCGACCAGCGCTTTTTTCGTTGCCCCTGCGAGGACACTGACGTCGAGGTGAAGCTCCGCGAGTACCGGCTCCAGCCCCGGACGGTGAAAGGCGAAGACGACGAGGGCAACAGTATCAGCTCCACCATGGCCGTCAAGGAGCTCACGGAGGTCATGGTCACGGGCAGTGAGCTCCTCACGAAAATTGAAGCCGCGGCAACAGAGTATTTCACGCACTGCTGGAATTGCCGATGGGCCAACACGGCTCGGCTGAACGACATGCATAAGTTCACCGATACCGAGCTATTCATTCAGACCGATTTCGCTGCGCAGATCTCCAACGCTGCCCAGGACAACCTCTGCTGCACACACAGGAACCATACGAATCTCGACGTGTTCGTCGTAGCATCGGATCCACGACTCGTCGACGTGACGGTGAAGCATGCCGACGGGTCCTCTTCCTTCGTCAAGAAACGCATCACACGCCAACTGCGACGGCCTTTCGCAGCGATGGCAAGGCTTGGGTCCTCGAAAGCGACTCGGACACTGTTGTGCTCATGGACCTAGACTCCAGAGAACGCCTCGAGGTATTAGACGCTACCTTCTACATGTTTCCTCAAGATCTCGCGATCGCTGGAGACAAGCTCTTGGTTCTTTATCTCGAATATGATGAAGAAGCTCGTGCTACTGGCGGCATCTCGGTGTATGATGTTGTCACTGGCGAACATCGGTTTTCATTTGGATGCGATTCACCTTCTCTGTCCATTGAGCGAGTTTTGGTGCGCCCTTCTTCTCTCGTCGTCGGCGGTGATCTGGTATACGTGGCTGATTCGAGAGCCCACGCTATCAAGGTCTTCAATCACGAGACAGGCGCCTTTGTCCGCAAGTTCGGTGCCACTACGCCGCAGATAGACATGGAAGTTTGGGAGGACTTCGACGTTGAAGATTCCATCGAAGAGCTCGAAAAACTTCGGCCTGGGGAGTTTCTTTGGCCGTTTGGTGTCGACGTCGCCCATGGACGAATGTATGTGAGCGAGCGACTAGGCCGACGAATCCAAGTTCTGGCACTTCCAGATGGCAAGCCGCTGCAGGTCATCGAGTCGCCGGACGGAGAGATGCTTGGTCGCCTGTGCGTTGATGGCGAGAATGTTTGGTGCCTCGGGCCGTATAGTCGCGACACGCACTGCCACATCTTCGCGCCCTACCTCTCGGACCCGGCGATTGCCGAGGCCGATCGCCGTGCGCGAGCCGAGGCGGCCGCGAGCAGGCGGACCGAGGAGGCCGCGCGCGCGTTCGTCCTCGCGAGCAGCGACCGTCGCCGCCGCCGTCGCGCCGCGAGTTGGCCATGACGTTCTAAGGTCCTCCTCGCACGCCTCCATCTCCTTCAAACAACCTTCTTGCCCTTTCGTATCCGGACGAAGAAATTGCCTCAGCCCGAGATGGCGCGCGCCCCGGCCGTGGACGGGCCCCTGCACGACGGTCCGGCCCCGGGACGGGGGCCGGGGACGGCGGGCATAAGGCGGGCACGGGGGTTCCGGCACGGTAAATGCGCTCCGGGCACGCGGCCCGGCACGGGCCCGGCACGCGGCACGGCACTCGGCACGGGCCCCCGGGCACGGGCCGGGCACGGGCCACGCGGCCCGGCACGGGCCCGGCACTCGGCACGGGCCCCGGGCACGGGCCGGGCACGGGCCGGGGAGGCCCGGCACGGGCCCGGCACGGGGCCCCGGGCACGGCCCGGGCACGGGCCGGGGACGTGGCCGGGGACCGCGGCACGCACCGTTGTGCAGGGCCCCCTCCGTGGCGGCACGCGCGCATCCTGTGGTAGCCTTGTGGTGGCCTCAGCGCCGTCGCGCTCGCGGCGCTCCTCGCCGGCTCCGCGGCCGTCGCGCCGCCGACGCGGCGCGCGACGCTGCGACTGGGCTGCGGCGTCTCCCGGCTCGATCCCTGGCTCGATCCCCGGGCTTCAATAACTTTTGGTGAAGTGGCCACTCACCGATGATGGTTCACTAAAAAAGGCATCGATCGGATGCTGGGCTGCTGCCTCGCGCTGCTGCTGCGCGCGGCGGCCGCCGTGCCCGGGGGGCGGCCGGGCCGCGACGTCGGGATCTGCTACACGCGGAACATGGTGCACCTGGAGAGCCACGTGCTCCACGTCGACGCGCTGCGCAAGGTCGTCCTGTCGGCGTCGTCGCTGCGCCGCGCCGACGGCGGCCTGGCGACGTGCCTCTTCACGGAGATGGACGCGGCGACCGTGCACGCGACGACGCGCGAGCTCGTCGGCGCGAAGCTCTTCGACGTGGTCCTGCCCGACGGCGGCGCGGCCTTCGCGGGCCGCGACGCCGCGGAGCGCGCGCTCCTCGCGGCGCCGGAGCGCCGCGGCGGCGACGCGGCCGCGGCGCACCTGCGCCACATGAAGATGAAGTCGCGCGTCGGGCGCATCCTGAATTTGGGCGCGGCGCCGTTCGAGCTCACGCTCTTCGTCGACGACGACACGTTCTTCTGCGACGCGCCCTCGGCGACGCAGACGTCGATGCTCCGCGAGGCGCTCCTGGACCTGCACCGCGCGGCGGACATGGACGGGTCCTACGACGTCCGCGCGCACGTCTTCAGCAAGCGGCGGAGCGAGAAGGTCGCGCTCCGCGAGAGCCACGACTGCGTCTGGGCCCAGGCGCGCGCGCGGCCCTTCGGCGCGGGCCTGGAGCGGAAATGCAACGACCTGCTCATGGGCGGGCGGCCCTTCTGCTCCGGCGCGCAGGGCGGCGCCTTCGCGGTGTCCCGGGGCCCGCGCGCGGCGGCGTTCGCGCGGGACTGGCTCGACCGCTACCTCGCGCACTACGCGAAGCTCGCGCGGCGCGCCGGCGCCGCCGTCGACGCGTCCTGGGGCGGCGACCAGGCGCCCCTCGCGGAGCTCATGGGCGCGCGCTGCGGCGGCGCCGCGGGCGCGGACGGCGCGTGGACCTTCGGGAGCCTGCCCTACGCGCTCAACGTGCGCGACGCCTTCGAGCGCGGGAGCGACGGGTCCCTCGACTGCTCCGTGCCCGTCTTCGGCCCGCTCCTCGTGCTCCACCAGAAGCGCTACCTCAAGACGGGGACCGTCGCGGAGCTCCTCGGCGAGCTCGCGGGCGTCTGCGGCGCCTTCAACGCGCCCCTCGAGGCCGGCGGCCACGTCTGGCTCGGCCGGCGCGGCGACGGCCACGCCGCCGCGCGGGCCTGCGACTGGATGACGGGGCCCAACGGCACGGACGCGAACGCGACGCGCGGCGACGCGGCCCGCCGGCCGCCGTCGCGGCCCAAAGCCATGCGCCGCCGGAGCCGCGGGCCGCCGGAGCGCGTCTCGGACCGCGAGGAGGCCATCGCCGCCATCGAGCGCGCGGCCGCCGAGGGCCGCGCGGCCGCGCGGCCGCCCGCGGCGCCCGCGGCGCCGCGGCAGCCGCCCGCGCCGCCGCCGCCCGCGGCGCCCCTCCTGGCGCCGCCGGGCCTCTCGACGTCGAAGCAAAGGCGCGCGGCGCGCCTCGCCGCGGCGGAGAAGCGGCGGCGCGAGCGCGGGGGCGCGCTAGCGGGGTAAACGCTGCAGTCGTCGTTGATGCATCCGACCACGAGCGAAAAGATTGGGCTCGAGCTGGGCTGCCCCGTTTGTTCGACGGCCGTGGCGCGGGCGTCGTCGCGGCGACCCGGAGGATGCTCCTCTCCGCCATCGTCGAGGCGCGGTCGAAGCTGCGGGAGGAGGTCGCGCGCCACGAGGAGGTCTTGAGCGGCTGCGAGAGCGAGCGGCGGCGCTGCGAGCAGGCCGCGCGGCGGGAGGTGGAGCGGGAGGTGGCGAGCGCCGTCGCGTCGGCGTCGTCGGCCTCCGGCGACGCGCCCCCCGCCGACGCGCCGTTCGCGCCGGGCGCGGCGCCCGGCGCCGCGGCCCCGGCGGACGACGGCGGCGCCGCGCGCGTCGGCGGCGGCGGCCGGCTGCTCTTCGCCGCGGCCGCGTTCCAGTTCGCCGAGGAGCGACTGTTGCGGCGCGAGGCGCTGCGGCGCGTCGGCGTCGTGCGGAGCGGCTACCTGCGGCGCGCGACGCGGCGGAAGCAGGCCACGGTCTGGCGGTTCCACCGGGTCGAGCTGAGGCGCGAGGCCGCGGGCGGCGTCGTGACCTTCTGCTGGAGCGGCGTCGGCGACGGCGGCGTGCGCGGGGACCGGTCCGGCGAGCGGCGCGTCGCCCTCCGGCGCGGCGAGGCGTCCTGCGCGGCGGCGCTCGGCGGCGCGCGGCCCGGCGGCCCCGGCGACGACGACGCCGTCTTCGTGCTCGGCGCGGGCGACGACCGCGTGGCCTGGATGGCGGCGTCCATGGGCGAGCGCGACGCCTGGGTCGAGGCCGTCGCCGCGTGCCTCGAGGAGGGCGGCGACGCGAGCCGGCCGCCCGCGCGGGCGCCGGACGGCGGCGACGGCCCCGCGCGGCGCGGCGTCGCGGCCTTCGAGGCGGCCATCGCCCGCGTCGCGCGCGCGGGCGACCGGGCCGCCTTCGTGCGCGCCCTCTGCGGCGCGGACCTCGCCGCGCCGCCGCGGGCCGAGAGCGACGGCGAGGCGTCGCGCCGGTTCCCCGACGGCGCGCGCGACGCGTTCCCGGCGACCTCCGCGTCGTTCCGCGTGCCCGTGGCCTGGGTCCGCGACCGCCACGGCGCCCCGCGGGCCTCCGTCGAGCCGTCGCCGCGGAGAAGGCGGCGGCCGCGGCCCGCGGCGGCGAAGCGCGGCGACGGCGCCGCGGGCGACGGCGGCGCCGCCGCGCGCGGCGACCCGCCGCCGGCCGAGGCGCTGCGCCAGCGCGTCGTCCAGATGCGCAAGGACATGCGGCGGGACCGCGTGTCCATCGACGGCGAGGTCGTCGCCGCGGACGGCGGCGACGGCGCGCCGGGCGGCGGCGAGTACCACGAGCGCGTCGCGGCCGCGCTCGCGCGGCGGCTCCTCGAGGAGGCGCGGCTCGACGGCGCCCGGGGGGGCGCCGACGCGGCGTCGCCCCGGCCCCTCGCGGCGCTCTCGGAGGCCGGCGCCGTGACCCACGCGGCCGCGGTCCTCGTCGCGTGCACGCGGACGTGCTCGGGCGGCGACGCGTACGCGTGCGTCCACGCGCTCTGCAAGCCCCTCGGCGCGCTCATCGTGCTGTGCCCGCTGAGCACGCACGCGTCGCCGCTGGAGCTGCGCGTGTCCTTCTCGCGGCGCCGCGAGAGCGCGGGGCCGCCGCGGCGGCCGCCGCCCATCGGCGCGGCGGGCGCGGCGGCGCGCCGCGGCAACCTGGGCTCGCCGAGCCCGTCCTTCGCGCAGAAGCTCCTGGCGACGCTGACGACGTCGCCCGCGCCGCCGTCGCCCGCCGACGCCTGGGCCGCGTCGCCGCCGTCGGCGGCCGGCGGCTCGCCGCTCGACGGCTCGCACTCGCCGAGCGACGCGTGGGCGTCGACGACGGACGTGCCGCGCGACGAGTCCGGCGCGGCGACGTCCGACGACGACGACGGCGACGGCCGCGACGACGACGCGTCGCCCGCGCGCGGCGGCCGGGGCGCCGCGTTCGCGGCCGCGCCGCGCGGCCGGCGCCGGCCGGGCGGCGGCCTCCGGTCCCGCGTCGACGTCGACGTCCGCGCGACGACGGTCTACCGCGTCTGCACGGCGAACCCGCAGGACGAGCCCTCGGACACGTGGGCCCTCGTCCGCGCCGTCTGGACCCAGTCCTTCGCCGTCACGGGCGACCCCGCGAAGGGCGCGACGAACTTCAAGGCCTCCGAGCCCCAGGTCCACATCGGCATCTCCGACTTTACGCTCTGGGACCCGACCGAGGAGCGGTAGTCCTTAAATCTTTTGTTGTTTTTTGGAGTCGGAGGTGGTCGCCCGGGCGCGGCGCGAGGCGTCGACACAGCCTATCGAGCAAGATGTGAGATTCTTGCCTCAGACAGTCTGAGAGCATTGCGAGTTGCGGCTTGTTGCGCACTCCCGAGAGATCTCGCCCGCCCCTCCAGCCGCTTGTCAATTTGGCACCGTCGCGCCTTTAGACGTCGCCGCCGTCGGCCCGTCGCCGGGAAACGATGGGGTGCGGGAGCTCCACCCCCGATGTCATCCTCGACGATCCGGGAGAGATGGAGCCGATCAAGGTGTCCATCAAGAGCAAGATGATGGGGATGAGCGAGGATTACAACGCCGTCAACGAGGCCGGTCAACCATGGTTCTTCATCAACAAGACTGGGAGTTTCTTCGGGTCGGGTAAGTGTATCGTCGAGCTCGAGAACTTTAAGACGGGCTCGAACCCGGAGAAGCCGAAGAAGGGCGAGGTGCTGTGGACGGCGAAATTCAACCAGACCCCCCGTTTCGATCAGATGATGAAGCCGAAGACGGGCGCCTACGAGCGCTACGCGCCCGCGTTCCAGAGCCTCCTCGCGGGCGACTTCCAGGCCGCGTTCCGAGCCGCCGGGTCGTCGGGCATGGACCAGGAGGACAGCGCGTACTTCCAGCGCATGGGTCGCAGCTTCAACGACGGCGGCCCGTATCGGGTCATCAAGTGGCAGCTCAACACGTCCGCGCAGATCGTGCCGGGGACGCGCGGCCAGGCCTACGGCGAGCACCGGCTCGACGTCTGGAGCAGCGGCACGGCGATCTGCGACTACGACTACAAGGACGGCCGGTATCACAAGAACGAGGCCGAGTTCGTGGACACGCTCAGCTTCAACCTCGTGCAGTGCTCCACGAACCAGTCCGTCGCGGCCTGGTACGTGCCCATGGACATGACGTCCCGCTACGGGTCGACGAGCGCGAACGACGTCTTCCAGGACACCGCGGTCTTCGCCATGTCCCAGAAGGGCGGCTGGTTCGCGACGCCCGAGGTCGCGACGAAGCCCAACTTCGACCCGACCTTCGCCCTCGTCGTCGCCTACCTCTGCTCCAAGGAGTACAGCCCCAAGGCCATCATGCAGGACCTCAAGCCCGTCTTCCCCTCGCGCCCCTGAGCGGGTCGAGATAGCGCGAAGCATAAGTGTAGCGGTCGCTTACGAGAGCGCCGCGGCGCGCTCGTCGAGGGCCGCGGCCGAGGGCGAGCTGCTGCACGCGCAGCGGTCGTCGTCGCCGGACGTGCGCGCCATGAGCACGTCGGAAACGAAGTTGGCCACGTCCCACGGGCCAACATAAGCCTCGTCGAAGCCCTCCGCGTCGCTCGTGAGCGCCTCGCCGACGTGCTGCAGGATGCCGCCGATGTCGTCGAGGCCCGCGGCGCGCGCGCTCGCGTACGACTCGCGCGCGCGGCGGCCGAGCACGCGGTGGCAGTCCTGCTCGATCCACTCGCGGTCGAGCATGTCCACGAGCTCCGCCTCGATGAGCTTGCCCGTCAGATCGTCGTCGAGTGCTTCGACGTTGATGGGCACCACGCGCCGCGCCGTGGCGATGCTGCGCGCGGACGGCGCCGATCGGATCGTGAAGGCGCCGGCGCTGGCTGCGAGCACCGCTGCGATGACGCGGAGCATCGTCGGAGCTGTTGGAGGTCGCCCGGCTTCGCGTCGCAGCAGCGCGCAGGGTTGTGTTTTTTAGCCCCCCCCCCCGGGGGGCCTTGGGGGGGTTTTATGGACCCTCAGCGACCCCCCCACCCCCCGTCCCGGCGACTCCCGGCGGCCCGGACGCGTACTGGGGCGCTGTTTTCAGGAGGTTGTCGCGCCCGAGCCGAGCAGAAGTCGACCCCCCCCACCCCCGTCAAAACCCCCCCAAGGCCCCCCCCGGTGGCAAAAAAACACAACCCAGAGACGAGGGAGACGATGACGCGACTGCGGCCGCCGCTAGCGGCTACGGCAAATTGAGTTCAACATGTGTTCAACAACCACCCCAACAAGTCCTTCAACTGAGCGACGCGTCTGATCGCGTCCACCATGCTACCCCCACACACGGCCAAATCCAAGTTCCAGCGAAAAATTACGACGGCGCGGGCAGCCGGACGACGGCGACGCGCGCGTGGTCCGCCGCGAGGCGCCGCGCGGCCGCGGCCGAGACGCGGTCCTCGCGGCAGCGGACCTCGAGGTCCGCCGTGATCCGGACCGCGTCGCGGCCGCGGTCGTCGTCGCCGAAGCCGCCCGGCGCCGACGAGGCCCGGCCCGCGAGCGCGCGGCGGAGCGCCGCCTCGTCCGCCCAGTCGCACGCGGCGACGTCGAGGACCTCGAGGCCCGTGAGCAGCCGGAGCGCGTCGGCGATGGCGAGGCATCCCTGGCCCGGCGCGACGAGGCACGTGGCGCCGAGGCGCAGGACCGAGAGCGTGGGGACGGCGAAGCACAGCCGGGCGACGAAGTCCGCGGTAACGCGCGGGCTGCAGAGCGAGAGCTCGAGCAACGAGACGCAGCCCCGGAAGCGCGGCACCGCCCAGGCGTCGCCGTCGCGGTCGGTTGATGCCGGCGCGCGCCGCCGCGGCAGGAGCCGCTCGAGCGCGTCGTCGCCGACGTCGCCGGCGACGGCGAGGCGCTCGAGGCGCGGGTTCGCCAGGAGCTCGACGTTGTCGTCGCGGACGCGGCGGCCCCGGGCCGCGGCGGCCGAGATCTCCTCGACGAGGTGCGCGGGCAGCAGCGCGAAGGCGCCGGCGGCGGACGCGTCGTAGCGGTGCAGAGACTCGCCGACCGCGCGCGCGGCCGCGAGCGCGAGCGTCGCCGCGGGCGCCACGGGCTCGGCGGCGCTCGCGGGCGCGGGCGGCGCGGCGGCGGGCGGCCGCGGCGGCGCGCGCGGGATCAGGCGCAGGAGGTCCTTGACCGACGGCGCCGCGCGGCTCGGACCGCCGACCGGGCGCGCGGCGTCGCGCGCGAGGTCGTCGCGTGCGTTGGACCAGCGCTGGCGCTCGACGGCGGCGCGCAGCGCCTTGGATCCGCAGCCGGCCGATTGCTTGCCCTTCTTGCGACCCATCACGTGGACGAATCTCGGCCAGCTCTCGTCACCATGCTTTGGCCCAGCACCTTGCACAGCAGCATCGACCCGGCAAGCAGCCCTTGCACGCGCGATGGTGGGCTGCCGCGCTGTGGCAGTCCTGCTGCTCGCGCTCGTGTCCGCCGTCGCGGAGGACGCGGCCGAGGACGCGGCGGCGCGGCTCTACCTCGTCGAGGGCGTCGCGCCGGCGGCGGGCCGGCTCGAGGCGGCGGCCGTGGAGCGCGCCGTCGAGGCGTTGAGCCTCGACGTCGCGGCCGGCGGTCTCGCGCCGCCGGACGCGGTCGCGGCGGGCGAGCGCGCCGTCGCCGCGGGCCTGGGCTTCGCCGGCGCGGCGCTGCTGAACAACGCCGCGTCCAAGTGCGGCGCGCTCTACGGCGGCGACGACCGCTGCGACCGCCGATCCGCCTACGCGGCCGCGCACGGCGCCGCGCCGGCCTTCGCGGGCGTCGCGCTCAACTACGCCTACTTCCTCGAGCAGGCCGGCGACCCGGCGGCGGCGGCCGACGCCCTCGACGCGTCCGTGGCCGCCGTCCGCGCCGACGGCTCCGGCGACCGCGACGACGGCCTTAGGATCGCCGCGGCGTCGCTCTGCGCGCCGCACGCGCTTAGCGCCGCGGAGCTGCCGGGCCGCTACGCGCGGCTCCTGCGGCGCCTCGAGGCCCTCGCCGTCGAGCTCGAGGCCGCGCCGGACCCGCGGACGGAGCCGCGGGGCCTGCGATTGGTCGGGAACCTGCCCATCGCGTGGCCCTACCTCGGCTACGCGGCCTTGCCGCTCACGCGGCGTCTCGGGCGGCTCTACGCCGCCGCGGACCGCGCCTGGGCCGGCGGCATCGCCGCGCACGTCCTCGAGCGCCGCGGCGAGCCGACGCCCGTGCTCCGGAAGCCGCGCGTCGCGATCTGTGTGGAATTCAACCACTGGTTTGGGTGGTGCTGACCAAACTTCAGAATTCTCTAGCTCGATCAAATCGAAGTCGATTCGGCTGATTTTTGGACGAATCGATTGCTCTCGTCGAGTTCTCGAAGCACGGCCGAAGAGGTTGCGTCGAAATCGTCGCATATGCTCACATTGAAGTCGGGTTGAAGATTTGAATTCCACACAGGTCGCGATCGTCGCGGAGCTCGGCGCGAACACGTCGCCGGGCCTCCTCTTCCACGGCGTGTTCCTGGGCCTCGCGGCGCGCGACGACCTCGAGCTCTGCTTCGCCGCGCCGCGATCCCTCGACAGCGACTTCGCGGCCGCCGCGCGGGCCGCCGCGGCCGCCGTCGTCGATCTCGACCCGGGCGACCTCGCCGCGTCCGCGACGGCCCTCGCCGGCGCCGAGGCCGACGTGGTGGTCTACCTCGCCCTCGGCCTGTCCCACGTGACCTACAACCTCGCGCGCTGCCGCCTCGCGCCCGTCCAGGTCGTCTTCGGCCACGGCCACCCCATGTCCGCGGGCCTCGGCGATGCGATCGACTACTTCGTGTCGAGCAAACTGTACGAGGCCGACGTCGCGAACCTGATGGACGGCGACGCGGGGCGCCTCGCCGTCTTAGCCGAGGCCGCGGTCCTCGCGGACGTCCGCGAGCCGGGCCTCGCCCGACCGCCGCCCATCGTCCTGCCGGACCCCGCCGCGGCGCCCGCGCGCGCCGTCGACGCGGCCGCGCGCCGCGCCGCGCGCCTCGAGGCCGACGCCGGCGGCGACGCGGCGGCGCTCCGCCTCGCCGCCGCCGTGCCCGACCGCGGCGACGGGGGCCAGGCCTACGACGAGCAGCTCGTGCTCTTCGAGAGCCCGACGATCGGCTTCCCCCGGCCGCCGGAGCCGCCGCGCCACACGCGCACGGCCCTCGGCCTGCCCGAGGACCCGCCCCTCTTCGCCTGCCCGCGGCCGCGCGGGAAACGAACAAGCGTCGCGCTCCGACGCGCGCGTCGCGCCGCGACCCGCGCGAAAAGGCCGCGCGCCGCGCGCAGGCCTCCAGCACAGCAAGAAGCTGCACCCGGACTTTGACGCGTCGCTCGCGGCGGTCTTCGCCAAGGCGCCCGGCGACGCGCTCGTGCTCATGCTCGAGGGCGCGCGGACGCACCTCGCGCGCTGGAACGCGACCCTGGGCCCCGCGGCCGCCGCGCGGCTCGTCTTCCTGCCGCGCATGCCGCGCGAGGACCTGCTCGCGATCGTCCGCGTCAGCGACGCCCTGCTCGACACGCACCCCTGGGGCGGCGGCGTCACGGTGCTCGAGGCGCTGGCCGTCTGCACGCCGCCCGTGGTGCTGCCGTCGCGGACGTCCGTGCTCCAGCTCGCGCTCGGCCACCTCCGGACGCTCCAGCTCGACGACCAGCTCGTCGCGCGCGACTCGGAAGCCTACGGCGCCCTCGCCGCGCGGATCGCGACGGAGCCCGCCTTCCGCCAGCTCATGCGCCTCACGATCTGCAGGCGCAACGCCTGGCTCTTCGAGGCGGACAAGGCCGTCGACGAGTGGGCCCGCTTCCTCCGGAACGTCGCGCGGCGGACGCACCTCGTGCCGCCGCCGATGGTCTGGCCCTGGGCCGCGTCGCGCGACGCCCACGCCGCGCAGCGCGCGAAGGACGTCGAGCGGGGGTATCTCTAGCTAGCTCTGAAGAGTTTGCTGTCAGGCGATCCCGCGTGCTCCAGCGTCCTCTTCGCCGGCGACCTCGCCTGGCGCCTCGGCGACGAGCCATGGACGGAGAAGTGGGCGCCGTGGCCCAGCCACTAGCTACCTGGCGTCCGCGGCGCCGCCACCACGTCTAATAGTAGCACCCGGACGGGCGCCGCGAGCGCGAGTCCCCTTCAATAACTAGTCCAACAAGCTGAAGATTCTCCACAACTCGCTCGCTTCGGTGCTCACCGGTGAGAAGCAAAGGCTGCCGCGTCGCAGCGTCGCAGCCATGCGGTTGCTCCTTGTTGTGGCGGCCTGCTCGGCGGTGGCGCTGGCGGACCCGGAGGCGGATCCGGCGGCGCGCCACCTGTTCAATGAAGAGCAGGCCGAGGAGGCCGTGCACCTCTTTCACGTCGACGGCGATGCCGCGGACCAGGACATCATGGTGCAGTCCGTGGCGGCGGACGCGGAGGCGGGCCGGTCCGTGGCGGCGGACGCGGAGGCGGGCCAGTCCGTGGCCGACGCGGCGCCGGAGGGCGAGGCGGCCGAACCCGCGGCGGAGCGCGAAACCGCGATCGACGCCGAGCCCGCCGCGGACGGCGGGCCCGCCGCGGATGCGGAGCCCGCCGCGGACGGCGAACCCACAGTCGATGCCGAGCCCGCCGTCGACGGCGAGCCCACAGTCGACGCCAATCCCGCGGCGGAGGGCGAACCCGCCGTCGACGCCGAGCCCGCAACTGACGCCGAGCCCGCCGTCGACGCCGAACCCGCCGTCGACGCCGACGCGGCCGACGCGGAGCCCGCCGCGGAGCCCGCCGTCGACGCCGAGCCCGCGGCGGCGGCGGCGGGCGCCGTGGGCAGCGAGGCCGAGGCCGTCGCGGCGTTCCGCGCGGAGGTGGCGGCGTTCCTCGCGGCGCGGGGCCTCGCGCTGTCGCAGCCGCTCGGCGAGGCGGACCTGTCCGCGGCGACGCACGCCGCGGCCGCGGCGACGCTCGCGCGCGCGCACGACCGCGCGCCGGCGCTGCTCGGCGCGCTCCACGCGGAGTTCGAGAAGCTCACCGCGGAGAACGCGGCCGTCGTCGTCAAAGTGCTCGGCGAGACGGAGGCCGAGGTCGAGGCGACGTTCGACGAGGCGGCGCTCGGGTCCATGACCGAGGACGAGCAGGTCGCGGCGCTCGTCGACGCGTGGCGCGCCAGGGCCGCGGGCGAGCTCCGGGGCGCGCTCGACGACGCGGCCGTCACGCGCGCGGCGGGCGAGTTCCGCGCGGCCGTGCGCTACCGCGCGCTGCGCGAGCGCGCCGAGTCCGAGGTCCGCGTCGCCGTCGGCGAGGTCGTCGGCGGGCTCATGCTCCCCGCGGCGGAGGATGCCATCGCCGCGATGCTCGCCGAGGCCGAGGCCGCGGGCGCCGCGGCCGCGCGCGCCGTCTTCGCCGAGGCGGGCGCGGACGGCGCCGTGTCCGCGGCGGCCAAGGCCGACGACCTGGCGAAAGCCGCCGTCGCCGAGGTCGCGGACTCCGTCCGGGGCAAGAACGCGCGCGCGGAGCGGGACGTCGCGAACGCCGCGCTCTTCGACGCGCGGAGCGCGCTCCGCGCGTGCCTCGGCGCGCTGCCCGCGGCCGCCCGGGCCGGCGGGCCGACCCTCGGGAGCGCGAGCCGCGTCTGCGAGGTCGACGCGTCCCTCGACTGGCTCGAGCGCGAG